TAAATAAAATCGTCACGTTTGTCATGATTATACCTCATACGTTTCGCTATAAAATTTCATACAAATCTTAAAAAATATAAAGTTAACTTTCAAAAATTAAGGAACACTAGTAAATTTTATTTAACGATATTTATTGAATGCAGAAGATTGCAAGGATACAGTATTATTACAATCAGTAAATAATGATTTTTTGAATTTAAGGAAAAAAGTTTGTAGTACTATTAGCTTAGTTGTGAATATATTACTGACTTTTGAATTCTTTTAATAGTTATCTAACTCAAGAAAATATCATTGTAGCTAGTTTCAAAGAAGAAGAAGGTCGAGAATAATGTTGGATATAGGTAATAAAGTTAATGGTGGATAAATTACTGGCCACTGATTTGATAAAATGCACTTACAGATATTCCCTCACTGAAAATTGATTTCTCTTTCTCAATGATTGAAATTTTTGGTATTTCTCAGCCAAAGACCTTTGATTGACTAAAGGATCTAAAGAAAGTAGTAAAATTATATTATAACAAAGTATTAGCAGTTATGAATCTATGCATGTGACTTTTATTAAAGAGTAATACTAATGTTGCATTCCCATCATCGTTTATTGAGTACTGAATACCAGCGGGACTGTAGTTCATTCTATGTAATAAAGTAATGAATGATTAATCCCATGCAGACTTAGAAAAAAATGAATCTTCAACTAAACCATTTAAAAAAAATGAAAAATAGTGGTAATAGAGATGAAACTAAAATATTGGTGTTTCAATTTTTAATTTACGACATATAAAATGTTCAACTTTAATTAGGTGATGATCCTGGCAAGAAAGCATTGCTAGAAGCGTCATATGCTCTGAAAAGAATGAACGAAGCTTCCACAAATAAATGTCGAAAAAAAAAATGTTTGCTAAACTTTCTATACAGATCTAATCTGATAATAGTGATGATAATTAAAAGCACTATTATTAATTAACATTTACATGATAAAAATAACAAATGATAACAATAGCAAATAAATTAAAAAAATCATTTGGTTTATTTTATACGATTTATTGCCACGCATATTTACGCACATCTATTATTTTGAACTGGGGTGCTGCTCATTTTTCAAACTATCAATTTGAAAATTTGACCTAGAAACTACTGACTCTGATTGATCATATAAAGTTTGATCTGAAACCTAAAAAAGAAAATAAATAATTTCCTGAATAAATCAAATACACCAGTATGCGAATAAAAAAATTGCAGACCTTACTGTATGTCGAAAGACTGTGGCATACTACTTCGAAACTTGATTAATATTCTTTTAAAATAAATATATTTGAAGCGAAAACAAAAAGAAAGGAATAGTTAACGAATAATCAAGATAAAAATAACGTTCGAAAACAACATTAAAAAATTATTTTATGAAGAAGATTTTCTCTGTTTTTGTACCACGTTTACCGTAATCACTGCCATTTTTTGTACGCATCACAAAGTCATATAAATTTTTATATATTTCAGCAAGATCAAAACTTTGTTACAACTCCCGCCTTTGTTCAATACTGAATTATGCAGTTAATATACTCTCAAAATTATGAAATTGTTGCAGATAGCAGGAAAAAATGCCATCATCACAGCAAATCTTCACATGGTTATTGCAAAGATACAGGATTTAAAGTCGAAATTAATTTACAGAAAAGCCCTATGAAATCATTTGAAACTATATGATACCTTTCATACTATTATCACCATTTTGTATTAAAATCATCTAAAAATTTAAACAATGAATTTATTTAAATTATGCTCATTCCAATTTTTCATGATTTATAATAAGACATTTTAATATTTTTGTTCAAAGTGCTATTAATTGGTTTACAGCAATATTAATATTAAAATAATTCAAATAAGCATAGCGTATTTGCATTATGGCATATTTAGAATGCAAATTTTTAGAGGGAACAAAATTAGTTCACAGCGACCCTGGCAGAATGAAAGTTAAAAGTAATTACTTTTTGATTATAAAATAGATTAATCGTCAGCAATATTTCAAATGCAAAATGCGTAACTATTAATAAACGCAAATTCTATTTTTGCCTGAAATTAATTTTGCAAAGTTATTCACAGTAAATATTTTTTAGACTAATTATAAGTAAAAGAATAAAATGATGATTGTATTTAAGAACACAATTTTGTAAAAAAATTTGTATAGCATTCATGGATTAGTATAAGTACAATGTCATTTTCATTTGCACTAATATATTTCCAGATCATAGAAAAGTAGAAGCAAGAAAAAGTAAGTGCAAATTTATAAATAAATACTTATCAGGCAAATTTAAAAACTTCCATAAATTTAATTTTATCACTTCAGTACATTACGAAAATTTAAATTGATAGCTTCTCTCAAATGTGAAGAAAATTCTCTGTACATTTGAAACTGATAAAAAGGAGCTTCTGTAAGCGCTACTTAAAGTTTATTTTGGAGTGAAACAATAAACTTCAAATAGTACGTGTATAACACATTTTAAGACAAATTCACTTTCGGAGTTTTTCTGCAAATATATAATAAATAAATAATGTTAGTAGATCCTTAGTGAAGGATATTTCTATTTTATTCTTTTATATATTTCGCTACTCTTTAAAGTTTATTTCCAAATACAGAGTAAATGGAAACAATTTTAGCTTTAGTAAGTAATAAAAATTATTTACCATTTTATCTGTATATTAGGAATTTCGCTATAAAGGCTACTAACGATTTATTGTTTGATAAAGTTACTAACACTGCTTATCAACATTAAGTTCGCTCTTAAGCATCCACTTCTTGTGATTCAGATAAAAGCAAAAATAAAACTCGAGTGAAATCAAAAATTTCGTCAAAGAAATCAACAGGTGTGATCTAATTTTTTGGGACTGATGATATTGTTACACCAGCGGACGATATTTCAAAAACTTGATTTTCAGTTTTGTTTATCCTTGAACTAAAAACCTTCATTGATATAAAATACCCAAAAGAATTCTACATTTCAACTATATAAACTTCCTAAATTTAGACGAAAAATTGAGTCAAGTAGTTTACTTTTCATTTAAAAGTCATGGAAAATTTTTTTTGCGTTGATTTACTTTTTTTTAACAAAAAAACTTTGTAGGGCCTGAAAACAAGGCAAAAACTGTAAAAGCGAGGAAAAGCATAACACAAAGTGAATGCAGTACATACATGAACAAATTTGTAAACAGAAGTACTTACTTGAGAGATAAAAAGAAACATAAGGCAAAGAATGACGTAACTTCATCAGAAATTACACATGAAGTTAGTCGGAATTTAGAAAAAAGCCAAAATAAAAGAGTTTCTATCAACGATTCCGCCCGTAAAAATTCAATTGAAAATACAAATGAGATTGAACAAATTCGAAGTTCTATTAACGACAACTTTGCGCACGATAGAAGTATAGTCAAGAATGAAGCAGCAGCAAAAAAAGGTCGGAAGAAAAACATAGCAAATAAATTCAAAGCTTCAACGAAAATAAGCATTTATAGTTCAGCGGAAAGAATAAATTCAGAGAAAATGGCTGCTGAAAGTTCAAGTGCAATCATAAATCACGCAGTAAAAGTTCGAAGTACTATCAATGATAATGTCTTAAAAGATAAAGCTACACTTGGGCGTAATAAGATAAAAAATACCGCAGCAAATAAAAAGAGTAAAACTTCGAAAGTAATCGCACATAAAACTTCAAAAAACTCAAGCAACACTTTGAATAGCAAGAATTCTGTGGTACGTAACGTATCTCAAACTCACAGTGTTCAAACTACTAAGAATCAAATCTCGACAAATAATGTAGTAAAAATTCGAAAAAAAAGCTCAAAAACAGATTACGAGAGAATAATTAAAGTCAAAAAAGAGACAGGTATTGCTACATAATTTATTTCTATACTATTGTGTGTACAGTTAGTATACAAATATAGAATATAAAAATAATAAGTTAAACGTTCCAAGCATGCTTCGCATTAGAAAAATAACTCTATGAGAAATCAAATGCTGCGAAGATTTACTGCACTGTGCATGTTAAGAATTAGCTTTTGCATGATAAAATATTTCGCGGATTTTTATTTCTTAAAATTTGGTGATTTCAAAACTAGGTAAAAAGCGAGTGCATATTCTTTGCATCAGTAATTAATTTTTTTTCAGCTGCTATATGCAAAAGTGATGAACCATTGGTAGATCAGACTTATGATAAGCAAGGTAGGCACACATCTCATTCGGATACTAATAGTGATAATAATAAGCAATAATAATAACAATAATAGTAGCAATAACAGAAACAACAAAAACAATAATAATAACACTAATAATAGTAATATTGACAATAATAATAGTGATATTAGTAATTATTATTACGGTAATATAGTAGTAGTACTCATTTAAATTTACGGTCGCTTTATCATCAAAATAAAAATAAAAACATTGTGCATAACAACATGATAGCCATATTACACATTTAATTACTCGCTGCTTTCCAATAAATGCTATATAAAATGACTTTTCATTTATTAAATATTTTTTCAAAATCAATTTTGAAAATTGCAGAAAATAAGCAAGTGAAGAATCAGTCTGCACCGAAACTTTCAAGTAGTGTTCTATGTCATTTTAATAAGACTAAGTTTTTGCTCACTGTTTGATCAAACAAATTTACTATTAACCAATTTAAAATTATATAAACCATTTTCATTTCAGTGTACGTCATATCACCCGCTCTCGAAAAGGCTTACCACGCATGTACGTATTAAAATTTTCATCAATTACAAACACTTTTCTGCAATAAAAAGGCAAAAATTTTAATAAAATTCATAGTATTACTACTCATTTTAAGCAAATAATTTTAAAATTGTAAAGAAAAGATATTTCCGCGCTTTTGCCTTTTATTTTAGGTAATGAGAAATCAAGTTTTCAACTCTCTAATATAAGCAGCAAGTAAAGAAGTACCATTCGAAAATCAAAATATAAAGTCCCTATTCAAAATATAAGGAATTCTTTTTTGTTAATTAGCTTTTGTAATAATAATAAACGTATGTCAAGTACCTGTACGTGGACATCTATATATATGTTACATGTAAATAAATACGTAAGCATTCGCTTCACAAGACAAACGTACATTCATTCAGAACGGATAGAACAGATATTAATTTTATGTTGTGTATATTGAAAGAATAAACAGTCGTAAGTTAAAAAAATATCACAACTTTAATATTTTAATGTATTTTTGCAAATATGAGCACCTTTTCTAATTCGTAGTCTAATCTGATCACGTATTACGTCAAATTACTTCAAACTTAGGATTTGGTCAAGCATTTAAGTTAAGCTAAGAAATAAAATACGTAAGATGGGAAATCGTTAATTGCTGAGCATTTTCTTTTATGGAATATTCCGGAAGCTTCCACAAGCCATGTGAAGTGTTACGAAATAGAGTAGTGCCTTGCAAAAAAAGAATGCACATTTGTTTAAACCATGTCGTATGCAGGTACTTGTCTACTCTTTAAACCCACGTGTATACATTTCTACGTGAATCTTTTAAGATGAGTATCTAGATGAGATGAATGCGAGAAATAATCGATTCACAACATCTTAGGATTGGCAGTTTAGCTGGTGTTAATTATCATGTCTAAACTACAACCTGTAATTTACGAGGGAATAACTTCATTCAATTTGAAACAAATCCATCCTAAATATTACATATCAGATTTTGTACAACTCTAATATTTTTGTAAATACCGTACTTTGGAAGATTTGATCAGTCATTTGCTGAGATCACTTCTTTTTCATAAAAATATCTAATACTGGCACTTATGCTTAATTTTCAAAACTCCTCAGATTTTCAAAAAGTGTATTTTAGATAAAAGTTAACGCATATTGCAAGGTACAGCATGCATGCAGCAGAACAAGTCGTTCCGCGGCAAAACGCTATTGTTCAAGAAGATGAAGTTTCTTTTTGTCCACTTTTACTTTCATTTCATTGAAACCAAATTCTCACGTTTTCATTTGCAGTGATGAATTAAATTAATTTCAGATGAATTATTATCAAGATGTAGAAATGCTGCAAAATCATGGTATTGTAAGTTAATTACTTTTTAACTTATGATAATTGAATGCTAAAATATATTGTCAGTTATAAATTTTACAATATCTGATAACAAAATAATATTCTTTTGAAATATAAATGGAGTACCAAGTTCTGCAGTATGCAGTATCACAGGTATTTACATAAAAGGGATTTATATTACTTATGAATTAATTTTAATAAATGAAACTTCAAAATGAAAAATAAACTGATTGCTTTATTCCGAATCAGTGTATAATTAAAATATAAAAATGATAGAAAATTTTTAAGAATTTATTTTTTGAGAATGTTGCCGACATCAAAAAGTTACTGAGCGTCGGAATTTGTACGATTAAAGGCATTATGATGACAACAAGAAAACGCCTTTGTGAAGTGAAAGGTCTTTCAGAAGCAAAAGTTGATAAAATTAAAGAAATCGCGTGTAAACTCTCGGTAAATATTAAACTTCTTGTGTGTTTAGTTTGTAGCATATGGAGAAGGTAGTAAAACATGATTTCAGAATAGTGGATTTATCACAGCTATGGAAGTATCGCAACGAAGGAAACTTTGTTATCGCATCAGTACGGGAAGTCGCGAATTAGACAAACTTCTGGGAGGTGGTATCGAAAGTCAAGCTATAACGGAGGTTTTTGGTGAATTCCGAACTGGCAAAACACAGCTTTCACATACCTTATGTGGTATCTTATCGATAATTTTAAAAAATACAGTGCTTACGGACTTATCATGCCTATCTTATGTCTTTAAGGCATTAATAGTAAATAAAATTCGTGATCAAAATTCTTTGTAAAAATAGTAAATTTTTCATTTCGCTTTCAAAATATTGCGAATATCTATCTTGTTAATGTATTAAAATATCTCTTGAAACAAAATGCAGTCCGAAAATTGCACTTTGTTGCTGATTGTATGAAGTTCTTTGAAAATAAAAAATAAAAAAAAGGGTAGTTGAACTAGCCTATCTAGAAAATAACTGCCGGTATGTGAAATTTTTTCCAAAAATAAGGTAATGTAGAGGTAACATTTTTGAGGAAAATGAAAATGGGATACTTTTTGTCTTTAAATGAGCTTGATGTTCCCTATAAATATTTTAAGTAATGTGCCAGATGCCAAATGAAACTGGAAGCTTTAAAGGTGGTAAGGTCATCTACATCGACACTGAAAACACATTCCGGTTAGTTGTTATATTTGATGTTTATGATTAGAAGCTTTTATTCAAATCTTTCACAAAGGAATCATCTCTAGTTTTCAGTCCAGATCGTTTGCGCCAAATTAGTGAACGTTTCCCTATTAATCAAGAAGAAATGCTAGACAATATTCTGTATGCACGTGCATACACTTCTGATCATCAAATGGAATTACTTGATTTCGTTGCTGCAAAATTTCATGAAGTATGCTTAACGACACATTACAGCTTTTATTTTACATACTGTTTCCTCACAAAAATTTTATCAGAGTCTTAACATTACAATTTTGAAGAGCTTTTGCAGTAAATAGAAAGAGGATTTCCATAAGCATAAATCTATGAAATTAATGCTTTTGCACTCTACCTGTATATTTTTATACTTATCAAGTTGTAGGAGCTAGGCATTTTCAAACTGTTGATTGTTGATTCAATCATGGCCTTGTTCCGAGTTGATTACAGTGGCCGTGGTGAGCTAGCAGAGAGGCAACAAAAGCTCGCACAAATGTTATCACGTTTACAGGTTATATAATTTAAAGCAACATGACATTTCTAGTCGTAATTGTATTTCTAATTGTAAATCTTCACGAAATTACATTCATATCCTTAATAGTAGTACTCTGCAGAAAATCGCAGAAGAATACAATGTTGCAGTCTTCATTACAAACCAAATGACTGCAGATCCAGGTGCTGGAATGACTTTCCAGGCAGATCCTAAAAAACCAGTTGGAGGTCATATATTAGCTCATGCATCTACCACTCGAATCATGCTCAAGAAGGTCCTTGATTTCTACGATAATTGTAGAAATAATCTTCATTTTCGAAAGTTTTCAGCATTCTCACAATATCTTTTAAGTCACTATTCCATCTCAAATTTCGAAGCACTTGTCTTCATCCAATTCCTAAAAATAAACTTTGGTTCTTCAAATTTCCGCTTACATTCATATTCTCCTCAAACAATACACGTTCGTCACAGAGAGTGATGTTGTACTAAATTTCATATTTATTTAAGGGTAGAGGTGAGAACAGAATTGCAAAAATCTACGACTCACCTGATTTGCCCGAAAACGAAGCCACATTTGCTATTGCTATAGTCGGTGTGATTGATGCGAAGGACTGAGCAAATAAAATAAATAGCAAGCAAATTGAATGTCATTTCAAACTTTCGAAAAGTAAATGGGAGATGGTAATGTTACTTTGTGATATATATGTCAGATATACATGTCACTGTTTCACTTTGGTCTTGCACCGTGTAAAGTAATTACATTACCATAAAATCAATTTTGCCCACATTTAACTGTAATTGATTTGATGACAAATTTCTGATAAAATGATTAAGTTAGATACAGCAGGCCTTTACTTTCAGAAGAAACTATAAAAGCCCTAATTGCTTTTATATAGAAAAGTGAAAAGCTGATGAATGAGTCGTCATGATAGCAAGTCGTTTAATCTCATATTTTTGTTAACGACTGTAAATAAAGAGATTATAGACTCAAACAGTGGTGTAATTTAGTGGAATCATCTAATTTATACTTCACTGAGAATGTATATCACAGACCGGAAACTTAGTAGCAATAAATTCTTAACAATTACAAATGACTGGAGAACTTTTTACCATTATATCAACAGAATAAAAAGTTGCTGATTCGGAATACTAAAATCGAGGTTAGTACTTTTCGAAATAGCAATTGCAAACAGATATTCGCCAAATTTTCAATTCTATCTTTTAACAGAAACATGTTAACAACCAGTAAACGACTTTGAGACCCGTATAAATATAAGATTATCCTGAATTGTACTTCCAGATTCAGATAAAAACAAGGGTGATGAGTCTTGACCTTTGTTTTTATCTGAAGTTTTTAACAGGGAAGCCTCACATAGTCAGGTATAAAATAATCGAGGAACTGGTTAAGCAATTGGTACAACAAATGAGATAGTTATCTGCGTATAACACATATTTTTAATAGGAAGAAAGCATGAATCATGATGCAAATAACGAAAATTTGAGTCCAGTAAAAAATTATCTAAGCCAGATATGGATTATTCTGAAATTTATATATTAGTAATAAGAAACACCAGTCAGAATTGAACTTTAAAAAGTATTCGCTTAAAATATGTGAATATTAAGCAAAACTGAGATTTAATAAAGATCATTCAAGATGAAATATTAAATAAAGTAGCTAATTTATTAAGAGTCCAAACAATTTTTGCTGGGACCATAAGTACGATGAAAATTCGTAAAATTAAATCATAAATTTTTACGAGAATAGGATACAGAATAATATATACTGACAATTACAGAGATTGAGAAAGCGAGTACAATATTTTAATAAGAAATGACAATAATTAAATTTTGATTACACGGGATGACTTTTGAGAGTAGAAAAGAATGCTCAATGAGCTGATATAATAAAAGTAGAGTGAATATAGTACATAAAATAAAAGAGCAGAGGAGTTTTAAAATTCACAACAAAAAGCGCAAAATTGTTATTTATAAGTTAAAAATGAGCAAAACAGTTAAAGAATATGTACAAATATTAGCATTAGCAATGCTCTGAGAGGATTATTATGGAACATGATTACGTTACGAAAGTCCTACCGTTCCTAACAAACCAATTACTTCTTGTGCTCGCTTTTCCCACAGCTCTACATTCATATGTAACTCATCAGTATTCTTCATCACAATTGGGTCAGGATCACCATATTTGGGGGGATTAGCATTTGGATCATAGCTAAAAGAAGTAAACGATAAAAACGAAAAATTCTTTCTTTATTGCTGTGCTTATTTTATTCAAACGTAATTGCTTAAAATGTTCTTTTTCAAATATCTATGTTGTTGTTGCAAATTAAAAAAAAACATTCACACATAAATGTGAATCAAAAATTACATTTACACACTCTTGAATTAAAATGCCAAGTAATATGAAGACAAAGAGAGAATATGAATTAAATCAGTTAAATTATTTTGAAAAAAAAAATTCAAAAATAGAGAAACCCAAGTTGAGCAAGCATTGGTGCTATTGAAGACATTTCTTTGACCAGATCAGCACTGAACATGCCAACCCAAGTTGTTAATGCATCCAGATTTACCGGTTTGATCACTTGATCAGTTGATTTTTCAGTTCTGAAAAATACTTTCTCACTCTCATAATTAATCTTTTAACAGTTGAATTCTCCAGTCTGCTCTACTTTAAATAAATTATGCATCGAAAACAATTAATTTTAATAGGTCTAATAATAATTCATCAATGCATGTATTCACTATAAAACGATGTACTAAAGCGAAAAATTGAAATATTAACTCCACATCTCATAATTTTTTTAGGATAAAGAAATAACAATTCGTTTGTTTTTTAATCTTGAATTCTGATAAGATATTTCTAACTTAAATGAAATATATTACATTCGAAATATATTGCTTCGAATATATTACATTAAAACAAAGTGCATACTTTGATAATGAAATGCCTTTGCCAATGAATTTTTCGTGATGAAGCACCTGATCATTCCACGGAATATCTAGAAAATCAAGTATTTTGCGTAACTGTTGTTCAGGATGCAACACCAGCTGTTCATAATACACAACCATACAACGCTTTGGTCCGATCGTTCGACACTGCTAAAAAACTAGATTGTTACATAAGTGAATACCATCAGTTTGAATTTGCTTGTCGAATATCAAGTAAATGACTACTGAAAATATCACAACTAAACATTAATTATCCAAAAAATGAAAGAAAAAAAACATAAATTAATGATTACGTTCTAAACAGAGCTCTTCAAGAAATAAATAGGAATCAAAAAAGATTTCTACTAAAAAAATCAAATCATTAACTTGTACTGAAAAACACCTGTTAATGCTCTTGTTCATTAATGCATTAGAATTAAAACTGAATGAAAATAAAGCTACGGTGGAAATTAAATCTATATTTATTACTAGCAAACATATTTAGGAAATAAGAAAATAATATCTATCACCTCATACATAATTTTGATAATGCTATTCCACTTCTCAAGACACAGCCTTGGATTATTGAGATCGAAACCCGTAATAGTAATCTTCCGTGATAAGATTGAATGTACAGTGGCACGACCATCTCGAACCATTAACAAGAACTTACTATTTGGAAAAACTTTAGAAAGATATTCAGCTGCCTTCATCGTGAAGGGATCTTTGTTGCACAAACGTTCAGCAAATTCACCATGACCAGCTATCACCTTAAAGTATGCATGACCCCTGTTACATTGTAGTTGAAAATGACGAATGCAATGATATTGAATATTCATTAATCAATTACATGTAATATAAATGAAGAAATAGCATTGTTGATAACTTCATCAGTTACACCTGCTTCTTTCAAACGATTCCATTCTTTTTGACTTTTTTTCCATTGTGTTCTCCAAGCCAAAATACGAGGTATGATACGCGTCTCTTCCCCACTAAAATTACATTCTTTATTATCTAGCAAAGATTAAAATATCAAAGTAATAATTTTATAATTACCCTAAAAAATCAAAGTTATTTTTGATTATTATAATAAAGTAAAATACTAAAATTAATAAAATAAAGAAATTAAGATGAAAATAAACCATCTAACAGAAGGATGCGCATCTAACATCGCACGCATTAATGTAGTACCTGATCGTGGAACACCACCTAAATTAAAAAACGTAATCAGGAATATGGTGCAGAGGTTTTTTTAGGAAAAAATTGTACAAAATGTAAAATGTAAAATATAGGAAAAGCAAAATAATATATATGGAAATCTGAGTAATTTAGTGAAGCTGAAACCAGTGAATAAGCGTAATATATAAAAATTTATCAGAAACGTAACTTACCGATAAAAATGAGGGGTGAATATCGTGAAAGATTGCTAGGTGATTGCACCGGTAAAACATAATTTTTGTCAACAGTATTGTTAGTAGTAAAAACTGCAGAACCCACCATAACAATATACAAGGCACAGACTAGAAATATAGTAGTACAAATTATCACCCGAACGCGTTTCCTCAGAAACATTACTATTAAATTTTGTTGAAAACTATGTTTCCATTTCAAATCTGAAATAATAATTAGTGCTTTGCTTTTAATTATCATATTTTTTAGATCATTATAATATTATTACTTTCATATTTTGCACTTTGTTGGATAATAAAGGATGCAATATAAACAAATATTTGCTGAAATTCAAAATTGTATCCCCATTTTTTACTTCTCACATTATTTTTTATATTTAATTCTTCTACTTGATTAAGAAAGAACTAATTTAGCGTGAATTGGACGAATTCAATTATGTTTAACTCAAGCATGAAAATTGTCTAACTAATTAATTATTGCCAAGCAATTAATCTAATATTTTTGATCTAATTCTGAGCTCTATTTTGCTTAAGTACATAATATTAACTAAAGTAAGATAAAAGTAATATAACGAGAAAGTAATCAAATTTATCCTTGAGCTTTTCGTAAAAATTAATCATACTCTATTCGAACTCACTTAAGGAAAGAGACAACTCTGCTCAAAATTCAATCATTTGCAAAATAGAAACTTTGATAGGTAAGTAACCATTGTGACCCATCTTAATCTCTACTTCAACAATCACAGCATTTAAATACATAAATAAAATGATCTATTCATGCATTTACTCATCTCTAATATTAAATCTATCAAAAGTAAATGTATTAATCTTTCTTAATCCATTATATGATTATTCTCAAACCTAATTAATTAATGCCTGTTTCTTGCAGCACAGAGCACACACCGGAAAATTAGTGCAGATTCTTGCAAAATTTTATATACTTAAGCAATTAGAAGGATATGAGCAGAAAGGGAATGATGAATAACAGTACATAAGGAAAATTATCGGTATTCATCCCAAAATTTTGTCTTTTACTTCTCAAATTAACTCTCAGAAACAGTCGAATGTACAGTTAGATACAGCAAGGTCTCACAATAAATGCATGCTTGCTTACAGACTTGCTTAAAAATGATTATAATCCATAATGTTCCTAACCGAAAAGCTCGATGCTTCTTGAGACTGACCATTCTGTTTTCATCGATTACTAGAGACAATTTTCTTCTCGCTTTTATATATTAAAATTCACAATTCTGCTTCAATGAATTTTCAAAAAATCACACAGTTCACAAACTGAACTCAAATTACAGTTCTTCTGAAATTGCAAACCTTTAATTGGAAGAAAAGAAATTGTAAAATTTTCGGTTTTAAAGACATATATATCACTGATGAAGACTGTGTAAATTGCAGTCAATAAATTTAGCAATGCAATACTTAATTTTAATCAGGGAATGAAAACATTTTCTAAAGTGAACAGAACAATACTAAAATCAGTTAATATTTAAACTTTATGGCACTAAATTATCATAATTAAAGACTTTTGCAGAAATAAATTTAATACTATTTCACACTGTCGTATTTCAATGACACAAATCCCGTTTCCTTCACAAATAACCCAATCAATCGATATAAAAGACAAGAGAAAACAAACCAACCATATCCGCGCGAGAAGGCACACACAATTACTAACTGATTTTGACTTGCAAATTAATTTAAATATTCATTCTTTGAAAGCAAAGACATCCGCATGGTATTTTATCTAACTCTTGAAAATATTTTTGCAAATCTTTTTAGTGCTACTACGTACAAGTGAATAAATCAGTTAGAGTGACGTAAGAGTTAGAATAATCAAATACTTTTCCTAAGGAAAAATATCAGGGAAATTATGATAGCTTTATTAGTGATGTATGATGTAAGCACTGCTATCAAAATATTTTCAAGAATGGAAATTTTTTATTATCTTTTATTATAAGTCCTGAAAGCAACAATATTTACATACAAAAGTAGGAAAAAAGATTGCTATTTCATGGAACGATTATTATTATTTATTGACACGGCAATCAAAATTATAACAAAAATAATAACTAGTACTGCTATCATATAACGTACGTAAGTCTGCGCAAACTCGAAACTAAATTATAAATTAATGAAAACTATAAATCTGATTGTAGTTCAAAAAATTACTTTAAAATTATTAAAACAATAAAGCCATGACCATACGGAAAATGAGAGCAAGGAAAAATAACTGGTAACGATTTCTTACAAAGCGTACCTGAAAATGAGTAATATGAATGTACAAAATATACTCAGACAGTTATAATCATTTTGATATCACTTGTATTAAAAAATTTTGCTTTTGTACATAAATAAATTAAAACTAATTCTCTTCTAAACCATATATCAAACTAAATACTTGATTTTTTGTAGACTCCAAACGTACACGTTTGAGACTTAAACTTTGTTTCGAATACTCGTTAGCGCATCTAATTTTATTACCTTCCATTTAGTTCACGTCAATTTGCTACTGATTTAGTTAATGATTAAAGATAATTACTGCGTAAGGATAAAAGAAACAAATAATGCAAGGATGAGACTCAAATACGTGTTGTTCCAAAGAATTCTGGTAAAAATTTTAAATTTATAAACTTTTGTAAGAAATATTTTTAGCTTTAATGCTAAAAAATACATTATTTTATGGAAAGAGAATTTCTAATTAATTTTTAAATTAAGTTAGCATAGCTAATTTGTATGGATGAGTAGCGAATTAGATTACACCTAATTATGAATATTACAATCTTTAATATGAATTAAAAATTTGGAAGTTAAAGCAAAACAAGTGGATGAGAAGGAAGTAATGAAAAGAGTGAACCAAGTAAATTTTATAGAAGCCTTCTAGAGATTGAATTCTAGCACATGCATTGAACGTGTTACATAACCACTGCAAATTATCATACTGCAAGAGTGACGTAAAGTGACGTAAAGTCTCATAGAAAATGCAAATTAATGTCTCTGCAAATAGTAGCGATAGTTTGTAAGTAAAGAACCAATAAATTTTGCCATCCAGCAAGAGAAAATATTGACTTCATTTCGTTTTGATTCAAATTAACTCAAATGAACAATTCAGTATTTACTGATTATAAATATCTTTCCATATTAATTTGTGCATTCTAACAAATCTTTTGCAATAAGACGTAAAAAACGTATTTCACTCATTACTCATAAAAATATTTACTACATTTCTGATTAGTAAACATATTTAATTCCATGTTCACAATAACAAAAATGATTACTAACATTGCTAAGTAATCGTGAATACACTAATTTCACGAATTTAAGTATTAGAATGGTGATAATTTGCATTTTAAACAAAAAAAATGCATCAAATATCAGCAAAAGTTATACAAACATAGTTTGTACTTGCTGCATTAATAATTATAAGACTACAAATAGCTAGAATAAAGAGATTGATATTACTTCTAAACTTTAACTCTAATCTACCTAGTCTATATAGCTACTTCAGACTACAACACTGGTAATTTGTAGAATTAGCAATTTACTATGCAGGAAACTTTTGAAATAATAAACAGAAAATTATTCAAATACTTGCAGTTCTTTGCTCATTACCGATAACAACTGCAAACAATGGCAATTCTATCAAAATAGCAATCAGTAAGAAAAGAATAAGAGTGACAAACACGCAAGAAATTGCACACAGAAGAAGAAAATATGCATAATCTAAAAACAATTACTACAATAGATTACTGAATTATTAGAATTCGAAGATTGCTTTCTGTCACATTAGCAAAGAACTTAATGTGACGCAAAATATTTGATCTGTTTTGTACTAACATTTAGGTCAAGGATTAAATGACATGCAAAAATAAAACACATCCAAATACCAAAAAACAAGCCTTCCTTATAAAGTAAAAAGTGTAAACAACCGAGACAATCCATACAAAACCAGAAATAAACCTTCTTTTCAATTACAGACAACGAAATCCTATTACCTCCACAGAAACAGGTCAAGCCATTGTCTGTATGTACAAATAACTTACTCATCCCTAGCAAAATTTACTTAATATCTACGCCATTCAATTATTTCAATTCTCGAATATATGTTATACGAACAGAGGTAAAGAAGTTAAATATGTGAATGATTTTATGGAACATTCCTTCAATAACAACAAGTATTCCTCACAATTTTATTATTTTGAACTTATGAGGAAGTTAAGGATGCAAAAGACAACAACCAGTACAGAATTAATTTCGAATTACCATTTCTCATTCTTCAGAGAAAACGATAAATCACTACCCGAGAGCCGAAATAAAACGCACATAGATTTATTTGCAACATTAACAACTGATTGATTGTAGGAATGACAGAAATGAAAGACACACTTCTCTCTTAGTCAGTAAGCACATTTCTCATATGACTGTACAATTATTAGCGTATTCAGTACATTACGAATCAGGACCAGAAGCAATGATATGATCCGGATTGAAATTTCTGACCAGTGATGACGAACCATTCAAAATAATCAAAGTATTGCACAGACTAAGGGTAAACTTTAATAATGTGCGATGATCAGAAAATGTCATCAAGTTAGCGTGTGCAGTATGTAATTGAAATTAATGTCTTGCACTTGTATTAACATGAAAATTAATACGACTGAAATCCAAAAAATAATCCATAGTTTCTATGTACAGAGAAATTTTAATGTTGCTCGCGAAATGCAATAATCCATTTTTCTGTACTATTCAAATGAAAAATGCAAGTAAATAACATGAAACATTAAATATAGCACTATAATTTCTCGGATTTCTTGAACAGGAAACAATTCGTATGAGCGATCAACAATGAGCTAATCTCCTTTGACTGAAACATTTTCGTCCTCTGAATTGCTAATCTCACCAAGAACAAGAGTTTCTACAGGAACTGGAGGAATTTCCACTTTTTTTTCTTCTTCAGGAGTTACAATCTAAATACAGACATTAAGCTACAAGTAGTAAATTCTTTCGTTCAAAGTTATAAAATCCCACAATTTAGATAACACCAACCTCCCATCTACTAGAATTAGCTTCGATATCTGCTCTTAAAAGCCGTTTTAATTCTCGTTCCACCTCAGGTGCATCCATATATTTTTTCTTTTTCGTTTTTCGAAAACGCCTTTTCCGCACACTTTTCATTGGTGGAGTTACTGAAAAAAATGTAAAAGTGTTTGCAATGCAGTTGCATTTTTTCAATTGTACTTCGCAGCGCTTTTTAAAAAATATTTATAATACAATATAATAAAGCTCACATCCATGGGGCCACTGCCATAATTTGTCTCTCTTGAACTTGGACATATCACTATGAGATGATGATTCTGTTACAGGTTGCAAATCATGCGAACATATCATTATCTGTGGTGCGTCTGTGACTTTGTAAACATTCTTTTTGTCAATAGTCTTCATCACCTACAATATCTTGTAAAAATAATTTAAAAAAAATACAAATTGGAGTCATAATAATTTGTTCATTTTCTTGTATTTCATTTCATTATTAAATAGAATATTACGATTGCAAAATATTTCAAATATAATATTTGCTGAAATTTAAAAAAGTGGTTAATTATAACAAAGCTCTTTACTTTTTATTTCAGTATTTAATGGTTACAATATTATTAATACATAACTAATGTTATTTAATCACCACACTCAATTTGCAATTATTAAATGTATGATACTTGCTTCAACAACACACGGTAAATCGAACAATTTCGCTGACATAATTTTCTCTTGAAATTTTACAGTCGCATTGCGCATATCTGGTTGAAAACTGATACCTAATTCACCATCGTTACATTCATCAATCATTTTGGCTGCAAATTAAAGTATTCTATTTTTGTAACATTTTTTAATTCCTAACAATAATAAAAATATTTTTGATTTTGCACTAAAATTTGTGTTTTAATCTGAAACAGTAAAAATAATAATAATGTAAGCTAAATAAAACATAAGTATAGAAGGAATTTACCGATCCTCGGGGCAATATCATCAGGAAATCTTAGAATTACATGGTTCTCCCAGTCTTGTACCTCTTCTGCTACTTCAGCAACACGTTGAGGCACTTTTTTAGCCAAAATTCTCGATGAACCAGCCGACATTGAAAGAACACTTCTGCTTGCCTTAATTGCAATATATGGAGTAATTTAATATTTGCCCGACTTGTAATCAGTGGCTGGCCGATGAATTTGAGAAATTAAATTGAAAACAGCTTGTTTTTCAGACTTGCGTTATTAGACAATATTAGAAAACCATGCAAGCAGAAACATCAAGCGTTAATAAAATTCATCCATCGATAGCGAAAGATCTCGAAAATGGCGCTCTTTTATGTTTAATTTGCAACACACAGGTTCATTTTCATATTTTAATAATTTGAATGTATTTCTAATCTCTACCAATTACATAACTATAAATCTGCAGATTAGTTCAGGAAATTTTCAAAATATTTTTATGTTCTGATGAGTTCGTTTCATATTTCTTCATTTGTACAATATCAAATCCTTATTGCTGTCGCATAAATTTTGAAAAATTATACTATAAAATGTATTAATTTTTTAGTAGATTACTGTCTGTTCTGCTTCTATATATCATTCACTGACTGCTATATCATTCAAAGATACTTGTAGAATTGTTTTCAAGGTGAAGAGTAAACTATGGATCGCTCATTCAAATGGTCGAAAGCATAGAGAAAATATCAAACAATTTAAAACTAATCATTTGATTACAAATGCAGCAAAAAGAAATATGCAAGAGCCAATCACATCATCTGATGTAATTCCCAACAAAAAAACTAAAAGTAAGAAATTTACCTCTTATAGTAGTATTATTCAAAAACAAACAATTGCAAAGACATGTAAGCGCTCTAATCTTTTTTAGTCGAGGAGAAAGTTTCGATAACAGATGAAAGTGTTCCCTGGGAAAAGAGCCCCATGTCTAAGGTAGTAGAAAGTAGCGTTACTAGTGCTCAGAAGAAGAAGAATATTATCGAAGGAGTACCAGAAGGGTTTTTCGAAGACGAAAAGTTGAATAAAAGGGTATGACTGCTATTAGCATCTTTTCACCATTATACAGAATGAATGATTTTCAGGTCAAAAAAATATTTTTTTTGTTAGCATTCAAACTCTCATTTTATGGAAAGTAGTCATTTACATTTTTATTCTTCTGTTCAGTCATATAATTAGGTATATATCTTAGCTTCGTTTCATGTACTACTACAAAACTTTTCATTCTTTTAAATTAGTAAACGGATGCGTTATTTCGCAGTAAATGATTCAACACTAACACTTTATATATAGTGTTAGTTTTGGATATATTATTATTATATATTTAGTGCTATTTTGACTATAAATGTATATAGTCAAAAAAACATGTCATTGCGTTGAGACTACTCAGGTCGTTGAAACCATTGAGAAAGAAGCAAATATGGAGCAAGAATATGAAATTTTTATGAAAGAGTTGAATGAGGCCGAGAAAGAGGAAGAACGACGTGAAGAAAATGAAGAACACTTAGGAGCAGTCGAGCACGATATAGAACTTATTGATGATCAGGTATCGAAAAATTACTTTGATATGTTTCATAGTTCTGATCTTTGTATTTATATTTTATAATTCAATTCTGCGGTGGAGCGTCTGTCATAAACATCATTCGAGAACTATATTTTAGATTAATCATTGGAAACGAGTAAATCAACTAGAATTACGGAAGGACA